TCTGCTTAACGGTCCATGGGGACAAGTGTTGTGCGCTCTGCACGCTGCTTTCTGCTTAACGGTCCATGGGGACAAGTGTTGTGCGCTCTGCACGCTGCTTTCTGCTTAACGGTCCATGGGGACAAGTGTTGTGCGCTCTGCACGCTGTGTGGGTGGAAACTGTTAAAAGAACAGACAGTAGCAACGATTCCCCCCCTCTCCCCGCCCTGCCAGCAATTGTCTTCTTGTGTAGGTCCTATATGTTCTATGACAGATTACGAGTATAGACATTTGAAAAAATTATTGAATATTGAATTGGTCAGTAATGAGTATCCAAGAAATGTTCATTTAAATCTTATTTTATTGTAAAAAGTATCTAGAGTAGAGCCACCATGGAGTGGGCATCCACAGAAGTGATTCTTATTATCCTTATTATCAAATCCTCCTCACACAAACCCTTAAGAGCTCTTTGGAAACAACAGTACATGTATTTAACATTTAAATGTTTCTTTAAAAATACCAACCGGCCAGCCAGGAAACATTCCTTCACTCCATATCTTGTCAAACTCTGATTGTACTTGTTCCACTTCCTGAAAACAAAACAAAAATGAGGCACCACCAAAAAATCAGATGTGAATAGATTCTACATATAACATACTCTTATCTAGTTTATCTAGTGAACATTGGGATGGGGGGGGGAAATTAATTATAACAATAATAATTACTATGAGGGGAACTTATGTAGCTTATGCGCTTAATCCCTGGAAGACTCTAAGACATGTACAATGCAGAATTATCACTCAACTTGTTACTGTAGGCTTACTTTGAAGCATGCCATACACTTATTGTATGGTCTCCTTTCCACACTGTTAGATTATTTATGAGGCAGGATCGTCAATTTAACATCCAGCTCCGATAGCACTGAGCAGAGAGGGTGGAGAACCATGAAAACCTCAAACATCCGAAGTGAAAAAAAACCCATTAAAAAATCTACATTCCGTGAGTGAAATGAAATCGCGTCATCCTAAATGTAGCAAGTAAGACCATCTGAGCTAATAGTCAACTTTTCCATAATCATAAGCATAAAACTACAGATAACAAAACACCAAAAACTAAAACAAGATTCCTTTAACACCTTAGAGCATTTTAACATTCCATATGAGCATCCGACATTAGCCAACAGAAAAAGCAGGCAATAGACAAATAAATTCACAGTAAATCAACGTATCAAAAACAAAGAGTACAGACATATATGAGATACTTACATCACTCAGGTCTGTCAGTGGCTTTATTTTGGACATATATTCACCCAGATAATCTAACAAGAAGACCAAGTACCTGAAAAAAATCATTTCACCTTGAACAACAATTTTTTTTAAAAACATAATGCCGAGTTCTAGAAGACACATAAGCCTTCATGGCACACAATTTAAACCATAATACCTGACACATACACACACACAAAATCAGTCTCTAAGAAAGAAGGATAAAAAAAAAAAGGTCTGATCAATGCACTTACTTGAGAGACATTTCCATTATTTTTACAAAGATCATTCCAGTTTTTCATAAAAGAAACAGATTGTTAATCTTAAAAATCAAGATTCAAGAACAACAGATTGATCTTTTCATCTTTGTCAACTCAGCATATATAAGACGTTATACAGAAATCACCATTTATTCAGTAAAATAGCTGCCAAGATGTTGCCTGCTTAAATTCTTTCTTTCATATGCCATCCACAAACACCACCTGATAGCAAAAATATACTGAAAACCACATACACACCAAAAAAACCAACAACCCCAAAATAATTAAAAAATAATCTTTAAAAAAGATTGTTTTAAAAACCACACGCTAAAAAAACCCCAGAACAATACTTACTCTCTGTAAGCAGCGTTTTTTCTGTCTTTGGGAATGTCGTACAAATGGTCGAATGTTGATAAGAAGTTGATGTAATCTATTTTCTGAAAAGCAGAAAAGATACAGAATAAGTATCAAAATATGAATAAACATTCAGCTGCTTCCAGTCGTTCACACAAATCAACAGACAAAAGAATCTTAAATCATCAATCGATGCTAGTTCAACATCAGAGAAACTAGTCAGCCGTAAAAAAAATGTTACCAACACAAAAGAACAACAGACTCCACCCACCTGGAATGTCAAGATGGTGGGCATTGACAAAGAACTTTCACCCTTGACCCTTCAAGCACTTTTTGCATTCAATAAATTCAAGCAATTCAAAGCAGACGTCAACAATAACGTAAGAAATGGTAAGGGACACTGCTCCCATTGACTTGCGGGCTTCCTCCTCATTATTCACAGACCTGGTCTTGAAAGACCATACGGTATAATCCACTTATATCGACGTCCGATTTTTTTATCGACATATTTTCCAATTATAAAATTTTTCCTTCAATATCTTCACTAAACAATTTCTCTTATATCAATCTTTTTTCGGCCCACTCTGCTTTATCGACATGTTTCCTCCATACCTGGCAAAGCCCACAAACATAAATGGGGGGAAAAAGCCACGCTAACAGTCAAGGCATTAGTTCTTCATTAAAAGTCAACATACCCGACAAGTAGCCCATATATCAAAACACCAGGCTTTATTAGGTCATGTAGGGCACTACAAAGAAGTTCACGCTGGTGTGTAGTGTGCGATTCGCGCTGCTCAGTCTTTGGTACTGTAACTCCAACACCCCTCCTCCCCCCATGTTAGTTTCAAGAATCAAGGGAAGCAACCAGCTTTTTAAAAAGTTGTGTTGTCTGTTACCGCTGACTTCCCCTTGTTTTTTTCCTCTTCGACTTTATATTTTCATTTTTCTTCACTTTTTTAATATATCGACATCAAATCCACTTCCCAGAGCATGTCGATATAAGCGGATTATACTGTATTTTATCTACATATGTCAATGAGAAGCAATACTAAAAAACAAAGAATACATGTTTCCAGAAACAAAAATGGACTTCCGTAGCCAGACCCTAAAAAATGAATTAAATATGTTGGGTTTTTTGTGTACCAATTGGCAGCTCTGTGTCTAGAGTAAAATGGAAGGACAAAGTACTAAAACAGGCCTATATTAAGATTCTAATACAACAATCTCCTCACTGGCTTTTTACTGAGACACTGCTCAGCTTACTCCCTCCGAGATAAGAACCCCCTCCCTTTCGAAAAAATCATTGCTGTCAATAAAAAGTGAAATAATGCTATATATATCAATCAAAATAAACGTTAAACTCTGGGAAGGTTCCCTTTTTTCCTAACATAAAACAAAACTACAAAACTGCTCTATTGAGTCGGAAAATAACAAACCAAAAAAACCCAACCCCCTTTGATTTCAAGGGAGGATTCTGAGAATTCATTTTTTTTGGTCATGGAATGGTGGTTGGCAGGTCCCCCCCCAACAAACACCCTTTACCTCAACTCCTTTCAGGTTAAGATACTGCTCATAGCACTTGTGCAAGTCAAGGTATTTACCATAGCCTTCCTCATCAGTGAAGTCGACCATATCTGAAAGTAAAATTTGTTAAAATAAGTAACATCATATGAGACACGCATATTAATCCAGCTGCTCAAATGCAGTCAATGCACCATTTTCATAATGAGGAAGACTACAGGACATTCATATCCACATACCCGAAAATAATTAACATGAAACAGCAACTTGAAAGGCTTATTCCGAGATTAAGAGAGGAAAAACTGGATTCAATTGCGTATCAGTAGTGAAAAGAAAAGGATTCTCGACTCCACACCATATAAATATATTTTCAAATCCTGGTCCAGAACTGGCATTTCATTAAGAAAGACTCTTAACACAAAATTTCCTCCCTTTACCAAGGTGAGAATGGGTAGCCCTCTATAACTGCAAAAGATCTTGTCATAGGAGGTATTACTGTTTAAGTGTCAATTAAACAACAGCTTGTATACTGTATTGACATGTTCAAGAAAGCTGACAATGTTTTGGAATGTTATTGGATCTGTCCAGGGCTATACTGACCTGTAAAGCACAAAGAGCCCACTTTCAAGTTTGGAATGGTGCTATGTAAATGCAACCTATCATCTATCATTATCTCATATACAAGAGTCACATGCAGTAATACGAACTGCAGCAAATGAAAAGGCACACAAGAGAGAAAATGACATCAATACGTACTCTGTGATTCCTCAGTGGGAGCCTCTCTTTGTTTTGCCAGTTCATCAAACTCAAGGGACATTGGGATGCTCACCTACATCAGAACAGAATTCAATTAGTGCTCAGTGAAATTGCATCTTTATTTGTGATGCACAGATGGCAAATGCTTGAACTCTAAAAGTGAATGTAAATCAGATTAACATTCCTATGCAAGTATAAGCTTTGAAACTGCACTTAAATAACATTTGCTCAAAAACAAAAAAGGACTCCTACAACTATATAATAAAAAATCATTAAAATCATGACTTATCTAAATAAAAACATCCTTTTTTTAAGGGGGCATCAAATTCACTAGCCTCATTCGCTAATTTTAGCTGCCCATCTTACCTATGACAATATTTAAAAAGTGATATCTATACTTTACAAATTAAGCAATAAAACACAAGACTGTCTCGTAACTTAAGACTTTTCTCCATACTCAATAAATGAACAGTCAAAATTTGAGAGTAATACCTTTAATAGCAATATAACGGGGGGGGGGGGGGGGGGGGAGAAAGAACAGACAACCAGAGGAAGGGGAACTCACTTCATTTGGATGTTGTTTGTAGAAATGTTCAATTGCTGTCAGTCTTTTCTTGAACTCAACATACTCGTTCGGTCCAGCCAAGGTCTGAATTTCTTCCCTTCTCACACTATAAAAAAGATGAAACAGCTTTGCAGAAACAAAAACACAAAAAGTGGAACAAAAAACATGTCAGAACGCATACAAATTTTTGCACCACCTCAACTTGAAATTGGAGGTATACATATTATCATTTTATTAATCTCTGTGGAGAAAAAAAAAATGCCTGTATGGGCCCACCTGGGCTCAGTGGGTTACAGATTCAAAGCTGAGATGGATACTTAGTCTTCGCCATACAGGAATGAACTTGCATCTTAAGAATGCTACTGCAAAGAGCTTAACTTTACAACACTGATGGCATGTTCAACCTACGAATGTTTGTACTCACTCTCACACAACGGAGAAGTAAAAACGTTCAAGCACACAGAGAAACACAGAGAGCCAGGTGCATGTAGTTAAAGATAACTTTATTCTAAAAACAATGTTAAATAATGGGGATGCCACTTGGAGTTTTTGAAAAGCTGAAAACGAACAGTTTTCCTAAAACAAAGGATCAAAATAACATTTGTTCTTTTTTTAGGATTTCAGAGACAAAAAAATCAAACATACAGGGGAAAAAATAACTCCAAGAAAAATTGGTATCCCTGAAATAGAACACCAGTAGCAACTACTTAGTTTCAAGACTGCTACTCCCAAAAATTTACCTTAAAAGGAATTTAAAAAGTAAGCTTACCCATCCTTGTCCTCATACAGTTCTTTTAGCTCCCGCGTGGTCTCTGCATATCTCTGCAAATATTAAAAAGTTCTCTCCATACACTAAATAATAGACATCATAACAGTATAACATCATACAAATTCAGTACACCTATTCACCAACTCAACAAACAATAGCAGTACAAGCAGTAACAGCAGCAGCAGAGGTAGATTTGAAATAGCAGTAGTAGTACAAGTGGCAGTATTTTAAGAAGTAGTGTCAGGAGCCTTCTTCTTCTTCTTCTTCTTCTAGTTCATCTTTAAATGGACATCACAGTCTCTTGTGCAAAGGCTGCTGTTTGCTGCAGGTCCTCTTGCTGGATCGATATAACAATAACAACAGCTGCAGGTCCTTCAGGCTCCTGTAGAATTTTAGGTCTCCCTGCCTAGAATTGGGCCAATGTTTCCTTTTAAATGCTTCGACCATTGGGCAGACTTGTAATAGATGGTTTCCTGTTTGGCTACCAATTCCTCTGTGAGTGACATGAGTCACAACTGTATAAGTAGCTCTAGTAACCCACACAGCAGAAGTACTAGTACTTGGTCACTGTTTGGTCACAAAACATGAGAGGTGTTTGAGTTATATTTCTATACCCAAATACATGGTTCAACAATGTTTACCAACTTAGATGAACTTGTCCATCATGCTGAAAATTGTATTGCCTCAGTGAAAAACTGGACGAACAAAAACAAATTGATGTTGAATGATGATAAAACAGAAGTCATTCTGACAGGCTGAGCAAAGTCTGTTAACGAGGATGACTGGTTGACCAGGATCACATGACAATTGGTGATGCAGAAACTGCATGTTCAAGAAAACTTAAGAATCTTGGCATCTATTTTGATTTCAGTTTGTCAAAGTTGGCTGAGGAAAATCATCTGATCAGCTGCATGTACTTAGAAATAAGAGAAATTAGTAAAATACGTCATCTCATCAATAGTAAGTATATTGCTTTAGTAGTAACTAGCTTAGTTTTATCAAGACTCGATTATTGTAACTCCTTTGGACATTGCATCGGCTTCTTGTTGAGAAAAGAATGTGTACAAGTTGGCCACCATATGTCACAAACGCTTGAATGATAATGCACCATCTGCTTGAATGAATGATAATGCGCCATCATATTTAACAAATCTGTTGAGACTACATTCCAACTCGCAGTTTAAGGTCATCAGCTGACAAAAAGAAATTTCTTTTACCATCTATGAAACTCAAAACAAAGGGTGAAAGGGCATTTGAATATCAAAGCCCCAAGATCTGGAATGCTTTGCTAAATACTTTAAGAGAGATCAAATCTTTTGATTAATTCAGATAGCTGAAGTCATTTCTGTTTTTAAATTAATAAGATGAATATTTGGAGTGATTTTCTTTTAGTCAGAACACAAAGTTTTATGTTACTGTGGTACATTGTATTGTATTGCAAAGCGCTCAGAGCCAGTGTTTTTAAATCTGGGTTGAGCGCTATATAAATGTCATTTATTACTACCATATTACCTCTTACATGAGGTCACCACAGAATTCATGCATTTCAAATACCATGTGCCAATGTGTTTTTTTCTGATAATAATATTAACAAGTCCATTATCAACTTCCGCTATTCAATATTCATTCACAGCAATGTTGAATAGTAGTTTAAAGTCGAACAGGCACAGTTCTAATATGTCCTCAGTTGATCATCACAGTAGAAGGCAAGTTCCTCATGCATGACTCTTCTGGTAGCACTTTTCTATTTTAGAAGAGTTTAAAATGTAATTTCCACTTATATGGTAAATCATTATGAAAAGAGAAAAGAGGTATGTAAATATATATGTATATATATATATAGTCGAACCTGTGTAAGACGGCCACTCATTGTCAAGAAGAAAAGTGGCCGTATAAGACAGGTGGCCGTCTTAGGCAGGACTGATCAAGATGAAGAAAACAAACCATTCCTTTCTGAGAAAACAAACCCTTCCTTTCTGAGGTCCCAACCGAAGGTAGTTGCATTGTTGTTGTTGTTATTTTTGTTGTTGTTGTTTTCGCTGGGTTTTCTTTTCTTTTGTTGCTGCTTTTGTGTACGGGTGGCAATAAAATGAAATGCGTCAGACGAGAAGGACCAAATGCTATCATGGTAAAACAAACACACGTACTACCAGTCAGAGAACAAGCGACGCTTCTGTCACAAGTTCATGCTAACGTCCATTGTTACTTTGTTACAGACTGGGTAAACAGTGACCACTCATCTCACTTGCGATTTGTGTATGGGTTCTGGGCAGGGCTTATGGGTTATGAGGGATCACACATTTCCCTCCCCAGCAGCTGAAAATTAATTTTGTTACCTATTGGTCAACAGTGGGAGGGGCCTACACAACATGATCAGTTGGAGGGACTACCTAACAACGACAGGTTTTTAGATTATTATGGCTCGCCCATAACACGGGGCCAATGCTTGATTTATGACAAAGCGTAATGGAGTCACTAAGGTGGCCGCCTAAGACAGGTGTTATTGCTTAGTGTGATAGGGGTTGTGTGTTGAAATATGGTGGCCGTGGCCACGTTGGACAGGTGCCCGTTTTACACAGTTAAATTATATAGAAAAAAGGCAAGGGGGGAAATGGAAAGTGTCCATTCGTACAGGTGGCCGGCTTATAGAGGTGGCCATCAGGGCAGGTTCGACTGTATATATAAATTGGAAATAATCTAAACTCCTCCTCACCCCTCCTTTAAAAAAACCCAACACATTATGAATATAAATAAAACGTAAATTAAATAAATAAAGGTAAAAAGATGAAAAAGAGTTGAGAATAGATGAAGAAAGGAGCAAATTTTCAAATACCAACTAAGTTGTTAAAACTAATATTGATTCTTAAAAAGTAAACTGTAACTTATAAAAATCAACAACACAACCTATCAATTTATGAGCAAAGATTATCAAAGCTCAAAGAAACATTTCCTACTCACATCATGGAGGACTTTCAGTCGATGATCTGAATTTATCTGTTCTCTTTGCTGAAAATAAAAAGGAAAAACAATTTAAATTACTATCAAACAACAAAAACATTGCTGAATATACAGATGGAAAGAAGAGATAAAGAATGAAGGGTGTGGGAACTGTAAGTAAAAAATCTTGTAGACTATAGTGCGGTCAAAAATTCGTGGTGCAGCTTATTTTCAAATATCTCCTTAACTATCGGGAGGTTCTCCAATTTTTGCAGTGCCTTGTATCAATTTGTCTTAACAGATTAATATTTTTGTAAACACCTGCTAGCTGTATTCTACAAAATTCCTTAATAAATACTAATAAAAAATCCAAGCGGGTGGTTTCAACAGATTTTTGAATGTTTACAGCTGGGGCAACATCGCTTTTAATAGCAAGTCCGTCGGGTTTTTCTAATCGGGACATTATGCTTATTGAAGGCATCTTTTGAGAACCATTAATGAAAAAAATGTGTTCACTATAACAATTTCTTGTAACAAGTTTTGCAAGTAAAAATTGTCATTGATGAGCTGTGACGTAGGCCATATATATGTGAAATTAAAATGTGTGTGAGAAGCGGGAAGTGTTGTGAACAATACCATTTTACGTGTGACAGAGATTTTAAGCATTTTATATAAATTTATGAAGGAAAGATTTTAGATCTAGCCCCAATTGTTCTAGAAAAATATGATTTAGTTAAGACAAATTGATGATACAAACTGCTATGTAAAGTATGGATGACATTGATTCACCCGTTAAAGAGACATTTGAGGATAAGTTGCACCACAAATTTTTGACCGCACTATAGTGTTAGTTGTATAATAAGTTTAGTTTCAGTTTTAGTAAAAGGTACAACAGCGCTTGCAGCTGCATATGGTCATATGAGCGACAAGGGGTGGATGTCAATAGAGAAGTCGAAATATGGAATCAGGCTTACTCTACTCACCTCTCTAGCCTGAACAGCACAAAATCTGTACAACGACTATCAAGGCACCCCAGGAATAACAGTTCACAAGAGAGTGACAAATACAAAAGAAGTAGAGGAAAAATAATGAATTGGGATCCGTCATACTCATACCTAGTAAGCCGCATTTTTTAACCAAAAGGTCCGCGTTTCATTGGATGGGTGATAGTCAAGGATCCCCTTGTTTCATTATCCTTTGTTTTAAGAGAGGTATGACCTCATCAAGAGCATACGTTTTTAATTCTCTCTCTCTCTCTCACGATCACTCTCTCTCACGATCACTCTCTCTCTCGATCACTCTCTCTCTCTTCCTTCCTCTCTCTCCCTCTCTCTGTTTTCTGAGTCTCATTCTCTCTCTCTCTCTCTCTCTCTCTCGTGAGAGTATTACATATTTTGTAAACATCTATATTTTAGCTTTCTGTTCCACATTCGCAGATTTTCAGTGTCACTTCATTTTGCTCTCCCTTAGGAAAGATGACAGGTGGTAGATTGGGGTCATTTTTTTATTTACATTCTGCTCACAACACACAAAAAGCGGAGTGAAAAAGGAAAAAGGTCAAGGTCATGAAGGGGGCGACGCAGTTACCGTGCACCTAGCTCAACCCCCCCCCCCCCCCGAAACAAAATACCTGGTTACCGTGTTCGTAGATATTGAGGCTACGTGCCCGGTTACCGTGTATGTGACATTGAGACTACACGCCCGGTTGACGTACCCGGTTACCGTGTGTGTGACATTGAGACTACATGGTGAAAAAAAGGAAAAAAGTCAACGTCATGAAGGGAGCGGAGCAGTTACCGTGCGTGCACCTAGCTCAAGCCCCCTTCCGCACCCCCACCCCCCCACCCGAAACTAAGTACACGGTTACCGTGTACGTAGATATTGAGGCTATGGGCACGGTTACCGTGTATGCGACATTGAGACTACACGGTGAAAAAGGAAAAATTAATGTCAACGTCAAGAAGGGAGCAAAGCAGTTACCGTGTACCTAGCTGAAGCCCCCCCCCCCCTCCCCCTCGAAACTAAATGCCCGCTTACCGTGTTTGTAGATAATGAGAGGCGCCCGGTTGCCGGTTACCGTGTACGTAGACCCTGAGGCTACGTGCCCGGTTACTGTGTACGTAGACCCTGAGGTAATACCGCAGTGTTGCGGTCCCGGTCCTTTGTTTACAAGTGCGGCCATCTTGGATACAATAAAATCTCGCTTCCGGGACCGGGGGACAATAATGGCCAGATTTTCAAGGCATACAATGCCAAACAGCACATTAAAATGGCCAAAACACACGCTTCTGTTCAAGTGGTACAAGAATTATTTTAAAAATCATATTATAAAATCTAGACTTATGTTAAACTTGTTATTTAATTTTGGCATAGCGAACCACGCCGCGAAAGTAATTTCGCGCCACTTCAGTTGACTTGCATGGTTCACTATAGTCTCATGTGTTAAGTTCTAAGTTCCAGGATATTTCTATAGTGTTACTGTTACTGCTGTTTAATTAGTCTTTTTCTTGTGCTTTTTTAAAAATACGATTTTAGTTGTGTGCTTCTTTTTTTTTTAAATTTCGATTGAGTTTCACAATGTGACGCCATGAGTTTTGCTGTTTTTTCACTATGGCTTATAATATTTTATATGAGCATGCCTCCAACGAAGAAGCTGAGCTTAGATTTTTGCAGCAAAACAATTTAATACGATCAGTGCCTCCAATTTGTCAGCAATGTCCGAGGCAGATGACTTAAGTAAAAACAGGTAGGGGGGAAGAAAGGTGCTTTAGGTGCCCAACTCATAAAGGTGAGAAGGTTTTTTTGAGTAAGGACACCTTCTTCGAACAAAGTCAGTTGACTTCACGGAACATTGTTGAACTTCTCTTCTCTTGGAGCTTCAAGGAGCCAGTTATTCATACTGTGTCCTTGACTGGATTGAGTGAGAACACGGTAATCCAGTGGTTTGCGTACTTTCGTGACGTTTGTTCTTTTAAACTAGTAGAAACTCCTTTTCTTATAGGTGGGGTTGGACAGCACGTCGAGATAGACGAAAGTCTTATAGCTTAAAGGAAAAACAACGTAGGGAGAGTGGTGCAACAGAGGTGGGTGTTTGGGGGAGTGGATAGGGCCACTGGAAAAGGATTTTTAGAATTAGTGCCCGACAGAACTGCTGTCACCCTCACTCGAAGACTGCATTAGAAGGCATATTGCTCCTGGCCCTGGCAGCATAATAAACAGTGACGGATTTGCATCACATCATAACATTGTGAATATTCCCATTGTGCTGGCTTACCAACACGTGGTAATTCATGAGCAAAATTTCGTCGACCCCATAACCGGTGCATGCACGAATAAAGTTGAAAACTACTGAAAGAACGCTAAGAGACGATTTAAGGCCATGAGTGGTACAAGTGAGGCCATGCTCTCATCCCACTTGGATGAATTCATGTGGCGGGGGGAGTACGGAAAGACACCCAAAAAAGCATTCAACAACATTGTTGATCATATTCAACAATGGTATCCTGCTCCGTAAGGTAAGATTATGATATGATTTTTAAAAAATTATTATATTTTAAGAAAGTGGCTATTCTCACCCGCCCGGAAGTTCTCGCAAGATCAACTCTTCCCCTCTTCTTTCTCTCTCTGTCTCTTTCTGAATACTGTCTATCGGTGTGGACGATCAAATTGACCAAAACAAAGTTAAAAAATGATGTTAAAACACAAAGGTAAATTAATTTGGTTGTCTACAAAGATGCTACGGCTATTTAACTTTTCGAATCGAGCCGAACTACGCGGGTCGCCATTTTGTTTTGCCCAGAAATTCTCGTGCTACTCCTCTCTATCTTTCTCTCTCTCACTCCACTGCCCACAGGCAAAATTGTACGCTTTTAGTAGGCTACAGTTGTAATGGAACGTTTGTTCACGGCACAGACTTCTACAATTTTTCCTCACAGTGTAGAATTCTATGGTTTAGGGTGAACGCAAAATTTGGTGAACGCGCACCGGGTGAGAATAGCCACAAGACTCGCCTGCACTATTCTCACTCCGGGTGAGAATAGAGGTGGCCATATTTTAATGTGCAGTTTGGCATTGTTTGTAGCCCCATGCCTTGAAAATCTGGCCATTATTGTCCCCCGGTCCCGGAAGCGAGATTTCATTGTATCCAAGATGGCCGCACTGTAAACAAAGGACCGGGACCGCAACACTGCGGTATTACCGACCCTGAGGCTACGTGCCCGGTTACCGTGTAGTGTAGACACTCCGTATTAAAAACGGGAAAATTATGAATTCCTAAGGTTGAGACATAGGCAAAGTCAGTCCGCTGGTCCGGTATTCTTCAATCTTACCACGAATGCTAACTGATTCAACAGCACTCTGTTCTCTACAACAACAAACAACTATTCTACCCACCGTCTTTTTCTGCAGAAGCATCTCACTTGTCATGGCCTCCATCACCCTCTCCCTTTCTTCGTGACACCGGCGTTGCTGTTCGAGAATAGATTCCATGATGCTAAGGTTTTTCTATTCTTACTTTCCGACACTGCAAAATAATTCACAATGCGGAGCACTGAAGAACCTAAAACTTATATGAGTTGAGGCCTAAGACTCCAGGTAGGACATCACACTGTTCACACTTATGAAATTGAGCGTTGCTTTCGTTTATTTCATAAAACGGAAGAAGCATAAGTTGTCTTCCCTTACTGTCTCGGGGTGAATTCAGAACGAAAGAAAATGGAAATAAAAGTCCTTTTTAACCAACTATTACGATACAAAAAAATTGTCATTATTTTTTGGTTATTTTATAATGGTTAGAATAATTTCCAACAAAAATTATATTGAGAGCAAATTTTAGCAATTAATATTATTATTATTATATATCTTGCAGACACCCCTTCTTTCAGTGGGCCCTGTGGCGCAACGGTAGCGCGTCTGACTCCAGATCAGAAGGTTGCGTGTTCAAATCACGTCGGGGTCATCTACATTTTTTATTTTTTTAAAAAATGTTTGACTCAATCAAGTAGCCTATAAATAATCTTTCAGCTCATTGTCTGCAAACAGCCTCTGACCTAAAAAGATAGTTTTAGGTCTGTGGCAAATTGGCAAACACCTCACACACCACCCTCAAAATCGAAAATCACAAAAGAAAGGCGTGGGGAATGTTTGTTACAGCCATCTAAGCAGCTGCTGGCGGTCAAAGGGTAGTTCTCCCGAACTCTCCTGGGTTTTTTTTGGGTTTTTGTAAAGTGTTTTACGGCGCTCGCAACTGCATAAGGTCATATGAGCGCGCGAGACACACCTAATAGTTTCAGTTGGTAGGAAATTTTGAATTTTGCCCGGGTGGCGGCCGAAGTCTACTCTCGATTTTAGACCACCAATAGGGATCTTTAACGTGCGCAACTTGCACGCGGGCCCTCCGAGATTTTTCGCCCTTGTCCGGGAAGGCTAGGTGCAGATCTTTCCTACCAGAAGGTCAGGGGTGTGGCAGAAAGACAGCAGTAAGGAGGAGCCAAGGAGTAGCAGTAGAAAGGCTGCAGAAAGAGTCAGGAGCCCAGAGGAGGGGCAAAGGAGGTAAGGGGGTGGGCAGAAAGTGGAAATGAAAGCAGACAACA